GCTGGCCATGTGATCCTCTCTGTGGACTGGCTGCTCTAATTGTCCTCATGGCCTGGTGGGTCAGGATGTGCTCCACTCTCTCCTCCTCCCCCCGTCATCTGCACCCGTGTGCTCCGATCAGATATGCCCCTCTCCAGGAGCTGCACATTCAATGCTGTATTTTGAAATAAATTCTTCTGGGGGGAGGGGCAGGTTTCCACTTAGTAGTTGGGATTGGGGCCAGCCCCCACACCTCTCCACTGGTTCCCTACTCCATGCTGGCATGTTGCATTCACATCTTGGAGCACTGGGTTGAAGTCTGGTCCCTCGTTCCCTGTGGAGATATAAACAATACCCTCCCCTTGGGTAGGTTAGGACCCAGTGCTCCCACTACCTATTTTTTTTAAAAAAATTTTTCCCCCTTTTCCCCACCTCCTTTTCAGTTGTCTACCATGTGTATCCCTGTATTTGGTCTGGTCCCTGCCATATTACCATGGTACTTTTTATATTCTTCATCAGTACCACAATTCAAATGTATCCATTTCTCTGTCTTATTCACTGTCCAGATTTCCCATGCCCATGAAGCCATTGAAATTGCCATGACTAGGGCAAGGTGCATCCGAGACTTCAAAGTGATGTCTTTGGATTTTAATACTTTAAAGAAGTTTTTTTGGGTGGGGTGAGGTTGGGGGAGGGTGCTTGGGGGGAGCATAGAGGAGCAAGAAAATTGCCATGTATTGTCCTTGATCATATGTACACAAGATCATTTGCTAACATATTGTCATATATTGTGGGTACTTAGTTCAGGTCAAAATATTCATGCCCTGGGATAATACTCGGCAATAACAAAGAGTTAAAAATTGATATACAAAATTTCAAACTGGAATTTTCCCCACAAAGCTATGTAATTAAAAAAATTTTAAAAACACCTTTAACACTTTCAAAATATGTGCCATTACACTTAATACATTTGTCAAATCTGCGATTCTATTTGTGGAAACATTTTTCAAACTCATCTGTTTGGATGGCCGACAGCACCTCCTTTGTTTTTGTATTCACTTCTTTAGTCATCAAATAGCTGTGTTTTCATGTTTCTCTTCATGGAAACAAAAAGAAGTCGCACAGAGTGAGGTCAGGTGAGTAAGGTGCTTGGTGGGGTGGGGGGTGGGCTGCGGAGAGGCATCCTGTTTGTTGACAAAAACTGGCACACTGAGATAATTGCATGAGCAGGTGCATTGTCATGGTTACAAAACCAGTCTCCAGCCTGCCACAGATAAGACTTTTTTGTTGCACACTGTTATACAGTCTTTTCAGAATCTCTTAATAGAAAGCTTGATTAACAGTCTGACCTGGTGGAATGAACTCCAAATGCACTATCTCCTTCACATTACATCTGTTTTTTGTTTTTTTTGGGGGGGTACCCCCTTGTGTACTACAAAGGTGAATATTGAAAACATTATCCTAAATGAAAGAAGATAGAGAAAAGATTATATATTATGTTAGTCCATTTTTATGAAATGTCCAGAATATGCAAACCCATAGACATATGAAGCAGATTAGTGTCTGCTAAGGGATGGGGGGAAGGCGGGGAATGGGGCATGACTACTAATGGGTAAAGCATCCATTTTTTGCCTAATGAACATGTTCTAAACTTGGAGAGTGGCAATGACTACACAACTGACTATAGTTTTTAAAAGGATGAATTTTATGTTATGTGAATACTGTGGCTACTTTAGGAAAATAGAAGGTGGTAGAATAAAATGAAAACAGAATATTTAACTGCCAAAAGCTACTCTAATATATTTTAGTTATTTTTTATTCCAGTGGCTAAAATAAGTTTGGGTTAGGAACTTAGTGAATATCCCTGTTGAAAACCTAAAATAATTAATTTTATCCTGCATGATTCTTCTAAATCTTCGTGGCAAGGGTCTGAAGGAAGTGTCAGAGTGAGGGAAGCAGATAAGAAAAACGCTTTCTCAAACTTCAAGGATGCTTTACCGCCAGGCATGGAACACTAAATTCAACAGTACCTTCACTAAAAAAGTTAAATTTCACTATGATATCTCACTGTTTAGGATAATATTTCCTTACACATTTCCTTACCCTGATGATTAGAATTTATTTTCCTTGACGTTGTCCTATAGAGAAAACAGATAGTTTTAGGTGTTGTACTGAATTCTGAAATGAACCAAGAGGCAGGGAAAGTGTTGTGGCTATGGCTATGTTTAGCTGTTTATAATGCTCCGTAACTCTTCTCTCTCTCTCTCTCTCTCTCTCTCTCTCTCTACACACACACACACACACACACACACACACACACACACACACACACACCTGCTAACTGCAAGGTAAGCAGTTCATCAAAATTAGCAGCCTCAGAAACCCTGAGGAGCAGCTCTCCTCTGCCCTTTAGGGGCTCTGTGAGTTGGAACAAGTGTGATGGCGATGAGTGAGTGAGGTATGGCTTCTTTACTGACACTTCAAAAGAATGGCCTATAAGCATGACTGGGTGCTTTGCTCTGGAGTTTGCAGTTCATTAGGCAGAGTTTATCTTTGCATCAGCTGTGGTGGCTCAAATGTGGAGACTGGAATTGCTTGAAGACTTACCGTGACACCCCTGGTGGTTGATGCTAGTTTTGACCTGAGACGTGCAGCCCTTGGGCTGACTTTCATGTGGCCTTTCTGTGTAGTTTAGGTTTCCTTACTGTAAGTGGCTGTCCAGGTTCTCTGTGACAATAGGGAGAACTGAAAATAGGACACAGAGAAGTAGGCAGGAAGAGAGGTGTGAGGGGGTGGGGGTGGGGTGGAGGGAGAAAGGAAAATGAGAGAAGAGAGATACAAGGAAATACAGAGAGGAAGAGGAGGGCTTGGTTAGGGTAAGAGCACAAGTTCCATTGCCTTTCAAGGCCGACTTGTGGAAGTCTCCCATCATCACTTCCAAGGAACTTTGTTCCTACATGGCCTGCCAAGGTTTCCGCAATTTGAACCAGAGGGTTGGGGGAATGACAAGCTTCTATGAGGGAAATATTACTGAAAATATTACTGCTGCCACTTTTGGAAAATTTAGTCTTCCATAACAGGTTACCTGTATTCTCCTACCTTTGTCCTCAAATGAATGGGTTCAGAATATGGGGTCAAAGTGTTTCATAGTTTCATAGTTCATTGTCAAGGATAGAGATTTAAATACTTTTCCTGTACTGATTATAGACTTACCTTCAGTTAGACTTTCATCATGATTGTATGTGTCATGTGCGTGTTTTATGTGCGTGTGTATTTTAACTGTCCTCCTTTGTCTTTAGTGGGCAGGGTTTGGTCTAGGTTAATCTGGTAAAACCTAGCATTCTGTGTTATCAGTTTGGATAGAAAGGTGGTATGATGCACTGCAGTTGAATTGACCAGAATTCAAGTGCAAGTTCTACAACTCCAGCATTGTGATATTGTTCCTAAACCATTCTGAGCTTGACTCATCTATCAAGTCAAGGCAATGATACCTTCTTTATGGACTTGGTCTGTATAGACATGCTGCATGTGTATGGAAGAGCCAAGCCATTGGGAGCCCTTAGGATCTCAACTATTGTCCTTGATGAAATTGTGTCGTTTAGGATATTAAGTTTAAGAAATTGATGCAGATGTCATGAAACTAGGAAAAATATAATCTACAACTCAAAGGAATTAGAAGGTAGGGGAAACCTAAGAAAGACACTAGAAGGTTAATATTTCCATTTTGGAGAACACATGATCGATCCCTTTCCAGTTACAGGTGACTTTTTTTAGTGAAGTAAATGTTTCAAAGAGTTATTAAAGTAGCCCTGGTGTTGTAGTGGCTACCCATTGGGTTGCTGACCAGAAGGCCAGCAGTTTGAAGTCTACTAGCCATTCCGCAGGAGAAAGGCTTTCTTGTCTACTGCCATAAAGTGTTATAGTCTCCCAAACCCACAAGCCCAGTTTTACCTTGTCTTATAGGATCACTATGAGTTGGAATTAATTTAATGACAGCGAGTTGGGTTTTTGGAAGAGTTCTTGATATGTTCATTAAAATAACTAGCCCTTCGTTAAGGCATTTTTATTGATGGCTTTAGCTCTTAGTATGCAGTGGTTTATGCTTAATGGAAACGACTATTCTGTTTCTTTCTCTGAACGTAAAAATAACATATGTTACAGAAAAGAAATCGAGGAGGAAACAAGACAGCCACGATCACATTAGCTAGAGCCAAACTGTTAATATTTTCTCATAGTTGTTTTCAATATTTTTCTTTGAAACTTTGTTTTTAGAGTACAAATCATACTATATGTAATATTGTATAGCTTCCTTTTCACTTAATATAATCACCATTTCCCACATATCATTAAGATGTCTGCCATATGATGTATGGTGATTTGTTTATTTTGGGGGTGTGTGATTATTTTTGTGTAATAGTGTGGTGATGAGTATATCTGCACAAATGATTATTGTCATTATTTTGATGACTTCTGTAGGATACATTCGTAGAAAGAAAATAACTGGATCAAAGGGTGTGACTATTTGTAAGCCCTTGTAAATTTATGTGTCACATTGTTTCCATGATTCTTCTTCGTCTCCTCCTCTTCTTCCTCCCCCCCCTTCCTTTTAATGGGACTGTCTTGATAGGTAAAATAGGTATGTATCATTTATAATGTTTACATTTACTCTAAGTAGCAATAGTGGCACTCACTACAAGCGCTCAGCTACTAACCTAAAATTGGAATGTTTGAACCCAACAGCTTCTCCATTGGAGGAAAATGTGACAGTGGTTTCCCGAAAAGATGATAGTATTTGACACTCTGTTGGCAGGTCTGCACTGTCCTACAGGATCGCTATGAGTTGAATAGACTCAACAGCAGATTTGGCTTAGTTTTAGTACTTATTCTAAATGTGTGGGCTTGAATGTTTGTTATATTATTTTTATTTTATTTCTATACATGCTGACAGAATATGTTCATGTCTATTACAAGTATTTCCCCCTGATTTTCTAAACGTTATTGCATAATTTTCTTTTCTCAAGGATTGGAGGCAATTTACCACCAGTTGTCGAAACGTACAGCATTGAAGAAGCTCCTTATCTTGCTGATTCTTGATCACATTCCCCTTGCTTCTACCTGGGAGGTAACCAGTATTCTGCATTAGGTGTGTATAGTCTCATACTTGTTTTTGTACCTTTATTTAATAAATATATATTTATAATAAAAAAACTTACATAAATGGTATATTTACCTGCTCTTCTATAACTTGCTCCTTTTTTGGGGGGGCCCATTCTTATGTTTTTAAGGCATCTAGGTTGCTGTAGCTTAGTGACTCTCAGAATGTGGTCCCAGATCAGCAGTCTCAACCACAAACAAAACAAAAAACAAAAATTCTCAAACTAGGATCAGATATATAAAGTTAACATGGCCCAGTGCAAAATAAAATATGGGGCTTCTTGTTAAAAAAGCACTAATTTCAAGATGGCACACGTGAAGCAGTAAGGCTCAGTGAGGCCTTTCTGAGCACATTTTCCCACCTTGCAGCTGGCTGTGCCTCAGGGTTCACCACAGACCTACTAAAGAGAAACTGGAAGTTGGCTTGAACAATCAATGTTTTAACACCCCCCCCCCCACATGGTTCTAATGAATATTTGAGACACTACTATAGTTCAGTAACATTAGGACTGTGTTGTATTCAATTTTACCTTTATTTTTCCTTTGTCTTTTTATCTATTTTCTTTTCTTTTTTTCTCTAACAAAAAACACTGCTATGAATAGGTTCATGCAAGTACTTTGCACTCCTTGTGTCTGAGGAGATATAATGGGAGGAATTACTGGTCTCCGGAGGATGGAATCTCCAGTTTTGTAGTTATTGTCAGCTTGCTCAAAAAAAGTGGTTATACCAATGTGTTTTCCCACTGGATATCTCTGAGAGTTCTTGCTTCATTTTCTTCCAGGCAACATTGATTTTGTTAGACTTTTAAAACAAAACAAAACAAAGCAAGCTGGGTCGTGTACTTGCATGTTTAGCTCCTTAATGGAGTTGAGCATTTTTTTATGTGTACATTGGTTATTGTTTCATCCTTTGTGAATTATATGTGCATATCTTTTCCTTATTTTTCTTTTGACTTGTTTATCTTTGTCTTACTGATTTGCACAGTTATTTCTAGGAAAATGGCTGGGGAGGTTTGGGGGGAAATGGGGAGCTAACAATAATGAATGTGAGAAGAAAATGTTCTTAAATGGGTTATGGTGATGCTTGCTCAATGATTATGGTGAGGATTGTGCAACTCTTCTTAATAATATGACTGAATGATTAAATTGGATGATATGTAAATTATATGCCAATAAAGCTTAAAAAAGAGGGAGAAGAGATATGGGATGGGGATGAGTGGGTGAGATAGAATATGAGATGGGAGATATTGATGAGGAGCTTGAACTGTGGAATGTTTTGATGATGGTCTAAAATATAAATCCTCCCCCTGCCTGATTCATAATAAAAATTTCATTAAAAATATCTTCTATTATTCCTTTACTAGTGATACGTGAAAGAAACACCTTCTTCTAGACATACCATAATTAGAACATCTTACCATTAAAAAAATCATTTTATTGGGGGCTCATACAACTCTTATCACAATCCATAATCCATCTATTGTGTCAAGCACATTTGTACATTCATTGCCCTCATCATTCTCAAAACATTTGCTCTCCACTTAAGCCCTTGGTATCAGCCCCTCATTCCCCCCCTCCCTTTCTGTTCCCCCTCTCTCATGAACCCTTGATAATTTATAAATTATTATTATTTTGCCATGTCTTACACTATCTGATGTCTCCCTCCCTTCACCCACTTTTCTGTTGTCCGTCACCCAGGGAGGAGGTTATATGTAGATCCTTATAATCGGTCCCCTCTTTCTACCCCACCTTCCCTCCATCCTCTGGTATTGCCACTCTCAGCACTGGACCTGAAGGGATCATCTGTCTTGGATTCCCTGTATTTCCGGTTCCTATCTGTACCAGTGTACATCTTCTGGTCTAGTTGGATTTATAAGGTAGAATTGGGATCATGATAGTGGGAGGGGAGGGAGCATTTAAGAATTAGAAGAGAGTTGTATGTTTCATCGTTGCTATACTGCACCCTGACCGGCTCATCTCCTCCCTACAACCCTTCTGTAAGGGGATGTCCCATTACCTATAGATGGGCTTTGGGTCCCCAATCTGCACTCCTCCTCATTTACAATGATATGATTTTTTGTTCTTTGATGCCTGATACCTGATCCCTTCTACACCTCATGGTCACACAGGCTGATGTGCTTCTTCCATGTGGGTTTTGTTGCTTCTGAGCTAGATGGCCGCTTGTTTACCTTCAAGCCTTTAAGACCCCAGATGCTATATCTTTTGATAGCCGGGCACCATCAGCTTTCTTCACCACATTTGCTTATGCACACATTTGTCTTCAGCGATCATGTCATGTGCATCATGGGATGCCAATTTAATAAAACAAAGTGTTCTTTCATTGAGGAAGTACTTGAGTGGACGTCCATTGTCCATATGCTGCCTTAATACTAAACCTATAAGTATATGCATCTATTTACCCATCATCATATATAAATATACTTACATATGTAGAAGCCTGTATTTAGACCTCTTTCTTATCATTTTTTAATGAGGTTTTCTTTGGTGTAGGCATTTTAATACTCAATGTAATGCATACTAATTTTTTTCCCCCTGAAGCCTTTTCACTCTCTCTTTCTGTTCATTTTTGATTTGGTGTCTTGATAGCCTTTAAGGGCCTTGATGTAATTTCAATGAAAATAAACAAAAACCCAACAACACTTACTCGCTTTCATTTTATGAAAGGTGGGCCTCTGCTAATGCTTAACTTTGCTAGTTTGGGATTTTAGATGTTGTCTCTGCTTTATACGATTGGGTTTCCTCAACGGGACCAACGGTTCCGGGGGGACACGCGAGAGGGGGAGGCAGGGGTAAGGAGGCGGTGCTGACCAACCCAGGGACAGGGGAGCAACAAGTGTTCCAAAAACAGTGGCAAGGAGGGTGCGAAAGGCCTGATAGGCATTCAGCAAGGGCAATGAAACCGAGAGAAATCACTGAAACCCAAATGAAGGCTGAGCATGATAGTGGGACAAGAGGAAAGTAAAGGGAAATAGAGGAAAGAACTAGGGGACAAAGAGTATGTATAGAGGTTTTAAGACTGGAATGTACATATGTAAATATGTTTATATAAGAGTGTGGGGAAACAGATCTACGTGCATATATTCATAGGTTTAATATTAAGGCAGCAGATGGACATTGGGCCTCCCCTCAAGCACTTACTGATTGCAAGAACACATTGTTCTATTAAATTGGCATTCCAGGATGCACACCTTCCTGACACGATTGCTGAAGAAAAATGTGAACATAAGCAAAGGTGGTGAAGAAAGCTGATGGTGCTCAACTACCATAAGATACAGCGTCTTGGGTCGTAAAGGCTTGAAGACAAACAAGCAGCCATCTAGCTGAGAAGCATCAAAGCCCATATGGAAGAAGCACACCAGCCTGTCTGACCAC